CTTCTCTGACCAGAAATCCATTACATGATTCTGTATTTTCCTAGGCAAGAACTTGGTTTTTGGTGTGTTAAAAAAGCAATCCATCATTCCAAATATTTCACTGAAGCTGAGTATTAGGCTCTATCCTCTGCTATAAATGATATCATCTATCTTAGACATCTCCACAATAACTTTCAGGCTACTCAACAAGCTACCACCAAGATCTTCTGCAACAACACATCAGCTATGGTGCTTGCTCACAATCATATTTTCCATGCTAGGACAAAGAACATAGAAATAGAGTTTCACTTCATCAGTCAGCACATTAAGTCCAATGCAATTGAGCTACTCCATATCAATTCTCTTGATCAACCCGCCGACATATTTACAAACCTTCTCTCCCTTAAGCATTTACAAAATCTTCACAGCAAATTAACAATCCAACCCTGCATTGTCAATTTGAGGGGGATTGTTAGCATACACCAACCATTAGCTAAGTAAGCATTGTCAAGATCGTTAGGACCACTAGCGTGAGCAGAGATGCTAATATTATTTCTCTACACTCCACTTGTTGTTTCAGTTTGTCACAAACGGCTTAGCAATCTTGCTTACAACCTCGCTGTTATCTATGTATTTAAAACTATCTTGTAATAATACCCGATGAATCAATTAATACATGATACCTTGCATAGTATTCTCTAAAAACTTCTTCGACTCTTCCTTTGAGTTCCTTTCTTCCTAGCATTCTATTACTCTATTTCTCCTGAGCTGAGACCTTTTCACATTCTACTACATAAAATTTGATATCTCAATCCTTATTCTGGCTATCTCTGTAAGTGAAAAATAAACTTTTATATCATATTATTGCAACTGGTGATAAAATCATTAGGTAGCACATCGAGTCAAATCTTGGTTCGATCACATAGAGGAAATATAAATTATCTTTTAGTATGATTGCATTTAAAAACCCTATTGTACTTAAATGTGGCACATGCCTCCAAAAGGTTGGCTACATAATAATTTGGTCTTCTATATCCAACCCATCAAATTGAGAGCACTAGATCATTTATAAAGTGACTTCCCATAACTCAAAATTATTTTCCTAGATTCCAAGCTTAATAATTGTCTGGGGAACACCATGCATTATAGGCAACACATAATCTCTTATGGCCCGAGCCCCATGTCTTGGCCTGTAATAACCTCTTCTTAGTTTAGCCTAAAATTAGTATTTTCTCCTTAATTCTTTTGATGAATATCATTATGATCTTTGGACCTAGTGGCAGTTGTGGCTCATTAACATAATAGTGCATAAATTAATAAAAGTACATGAAATATGATAGAAAAATAAAAATATTAATAGATTATAAAAAATATTCAAATTTGTTAGAAGCCAACTTATTATAATATTGGCAAACACAATCTCTTATAATTGTGAGAAAAACTTGCTACACCCAAATGTGTTGCAATATGGGAGTCTGATCTTATGTTTTGATGATTACAAATATTATTAGGCACTTTATTAACTTATTCCTACATCATATTTTTTATATTTAATTTTATGTGCTACTAAACTTTCAGGTACATCATACACTAAGCAAAGATTGAAGAGCTGAGTCAAGATATTATAGCGTTAGGGTAAAAGTTAATCTGTATGTTACAAAGTCCATATTTTTCATTTTTCTGGAGTCTATTTCTGTATTAGGTTATGTTGGCTTAGTAAACATGCATATAAATGCAAGGGGGTTAAAATTGAATGTTTAAAATTTTTTATTTTATCGTATTGTATAATCCATATTGTATCGTACGATCTACTCAAATAAAAATTAATTATAATATTTAATTAAGTAAGATTAATAAAAATTAACATATAGCTAATTGTACTATAAGATTTATACATCATACTGGATGAATTAAATCCTAATTACTTAAAAATAAAAAAAAAATAAAAATTTAAAAATTAAATTGATTGTACAATACGATATTTAATTATACTTGCCTAATTTGAGTTTGATAATTAGATAATCGAATTAGATCTAAATTAATTACATATCGTACTGTTCGATACTTATATTAAACAATATGATCCACCCAAGAGATCTCTAGACGAATTTTGCTTTTTCATGTATGATCTACTTTTTTTATTTGAACTAATCATACTCAAATAATTTTTAATCATACAGGATGATCTGTAAAGGCATTGAACTAGTCGTACTATACAATATGATAATTGTATTGTACGATTAATGGAGGTTTAATTGAAAATTAGGCTTTCGAAAGTCCACTTTATAAATTTATTGGTGAATTGAAAGAATAAGTCTTTTTGCGTCCAAAGAAGTCTTCCTTCTATGGGAGAGCTTGGAGAGAGTGAGGTGAGGTTGAGAGAGGGAGAAGAGCTTTGACGGTGTTAAGGGAGTGTAAAGGGGTTCACACAATTGTTTTGAATAAACAAATATACACATAATCAGCATGATTCATTCATCCATTTAATAATAATAACATTATCAATCCAATTTGCACTTTAGCCAAAGTCCTAACTTGTTAGAGTAACTAACTGGTAGCACTCGCATGAGGCACTCATCAAAGGAACTTGCCAAAGCCACTCACTCCAAGCATTTGAAGATATTTTAAGGTCACATCATACATGATTGTCCATATGTAGACACCTAAGAAAGGTTTAAAAAATGGGATCTTACTGACCAGTTCAACTAGTTGAACCATGAACCGATCAGCCAACCAGTTGCATTAACCCATAGAACTGGTTTCGAAGCAAACTGGGAAAAAACTGGTCACTCGGCCGATCAGATTGACAAATAATAGAACAAGTTGATTTTAAAAATGGAAGATTTGAGCCATTCATTGTAGATAAAATTGACAATGAGAAAATATAGGAAAATAACCTAAAGAAAATCAATCCAGGCCACTGTAATTCATTTCGCTCGATCGTGAGTTCATGTTTGAAGTGTCGTTCATCTCCCCGCTATCTCTAGCTGATGCTGCCATTGGTAATTGACGAACTCAATGATAATGTGTGTGTAGTGTAATTGTCATTCGTGTGTGCAATGTCGCTTGAGTTGCCAACACATGCAGTTCTTTTTTAACTCTGTGCTACTGCCACTCCATAGCGGGTTTGTGTGTTCAGTCCCACTATCGCTGTCATGATTTTATCTATTATGTGCATGTTACTTTTTAAGTCTTACCTATTTTTCTTAACATCATTTCATATTAGTTTTGTTTACTTGTATTACTAGTTCTTTTTCTATGCTCTACTGTACAGGAAGAAAAAACTTAAATATACTATTTGTTGTATATTGTTAATAATTATTACTCTTACTCATGCAATTAGGGTGGTAATCATTAATGGATCACTGAATTTGTTGGTATACAGTTAATTAGTTATTTTGAACCTGACTTGGGTTCAATAGATTATTTTATGTGTAATGTATGTGGACACTTCTTTCACTCAATTGTTCTCAAAGCACAAATTTTGTCTTCACAATACCATAGAAGCACGCCCGACTACCGGTCAAGGTACATGGTGTTTCCCTCTATGATTCTTGAATAAATTATTCAATTTTTATAACTCACTTAGCATGCTCTAAGTTCTCGGCCCGCAGCTTCAGGTCATACTGTGCACAAAATAATGATTTTGCTTAGAATCATTTCACTGAAGTCAAAGGAGTTGACGCGAAGAAATAGTTCAAATGGTTACATTGTGGTACTACATATAATGGAGGTGGCATAAACAAAATGAAACTACATTTAGTAGTAGTTAAGGGGAACTAAAATGGTGTCACATGATAATCGTTATCAAATGCAAGAAAATTTAAATAACAAATAAAAAATAGCAAGAATAAGAGGAGATGGAGAGTGCACCTATTCATATAGATGACATCTCTATTCATATAGATGACATAGTAGAGGAAGAAAGCAATTCTTCTTCTCTGCCCAAATCACAAACATCTGAAGTACCTAGAGCAGAAGTAGATAAAGGGAAAAGAAAACTTGATGAACTGGATTAAGCTGCTTTAATTCATGTGTTGCTTTGGTGATGAGTATATTACTTTTATTTTTTGTCCTCCACTTTTATTATATGGAGTATAGACAACTGCTTCTTGTATCATGCTTTAATATCAATTTCACGAAAATTATTTTTCTTTATGCAGGCTAATATTTGGGATAGAGAATCTTTGAAAAAAAATAACGAATGTTCAAGATAAAAAGGTTAGTTTCTTACAAAATCAAATGTATTTACTTTCAAAAGTAATGCATTTATTTATTATATATCTTAAATTTAATATTATGATTCTACTAAATTTGTTATTTTATTTAATTGATTTGGTCATTCTGTATGGGAACCAGGAGCCGCAGGATTGCCGACCACCTCACGCGGGAACCTGGAGCCACAAGGTGTGTCGTTTGGTGATACTATTATAGTGTAGTTATCCAATCCATGAGAAACATTTTCCTATCCTCACTTGACAATCAATGAAGGTTTAATCAGTAAAAATTTTGATTTTAATCAGAATTTTCTTGTTTTATATTTCATGATCATTTATTTTGTTTAGTTTTTAATCAAAATTTTTATTTGATTTCATTAATATAAGTAGATTATATCATGTTTAAATAAAATTAGTATTTATTATATCATCCGATTTGATCAGATATCACTCTGATCGAATCATCAACCTATGAATCTCTCCTTCAGATTCTTTATCCGATCTAATTTTCACAACAAGTTCTATCCATAATCCTTTAGATAATTTTATTAATTATTTAGGTTTTCTTTGGATATTCGGTATTTTTGTAAAAGGTAGTTTTAAGAAATTTAGATTTAGATAATGAAGTTTTCTAAATGGAGAAGTATATATAAAAAACTTTTTTAAAACAAAAGAAAAATGATAAAAGAAGGGTTATTGAGAACTTAATTTGAGGAACCAAACAGTAAATTTTCCGTTTTAAAAAAATTAAGCCAAAAAAACGTCCAAACAAATTAGGCCTAATAGAATGGAGTTATGCATACTAGTAAATTGGCCTCGCATTACCAATATGACTTCTTTAGCCTTATAACTCTGTCCGTGGCCACCGCATCCCTTCCACCAATCTGTCTCAATCTCTTCTGCCTCAATCCGCGTACCTCCTCCCACCTCTCTTCCTTCAGCCAATTTCAATGGCCACATCGAACCGGAACGAAGTCACTATAGTCAGCTTCGGAGAGATGCTCGTCGATTTCGTCCCAACTGTTGCCGGTGTTTCCCTGGAGGAGGCGCCAGCTTTCGTCAAAGCTCCCGGTGGTGCTCCGGCGAACGTTTCCATCGCCGTGTCACGACTTGGTGGTCGGTCCGCCTTCGTCGGAAAGCTTGGTAACGACGATTTCGGTCGGATGCTAGCCGCAGTTCTGCGGGATAACGGCGTCTCCGTAGCCGGCGTTCGCTTCGACGGCGTCGCCCGTACGGCACTCTCTTTTGTCACCCTCCGTGCCGACGGCGAGCGCGAGTTCATGTTTTATCGACACCCTAGTGCTGATATGCTCCTTTCGCCCGACGAGCTTGATCTAGAGCTCATCAGAGAAGTAACTATGTTCTTATATTGTAAAAAGTTGGGGAATTGACTGCTATTTTTTTATTTTTCCCATCTCGATTGAAAATTTTCATTCTTATTCGTTGAATGTAGATTTGGACATTAGGTTTGATGTTGACCTTTTTTGGCGTTATGATTTCTGTGCTTATTATTGTTTTCCAATGCTTGTATCACCTTAGGTCAGAATTCAACCATAAATCTTTATGCATGTACCCTTTTTGTCTTCGAAAGCTTCAAATTTTTCGTTTTTCCTTTTGACGAATGGTTTTCATCTGCTAAAACATTATTTTTGTCTTGCGCTATGTTAGGTTAATTGCTAGCAGTGACATTTTGTAAAATTTGATAATGAATATTATTGTGTTTCAATCAGTAAATGTTTTTTTCATTATGTTCAAACATGGTACTGAATGTTGATTCCCTTAAAGCTAACTTGTTGTTTTTCAACCAATGCGTCAATCGTCCAATTTGGAATTTGGATCCATATACTTAAAAGTTTTTTTTTTTTTTTTTAAATGGGATTTCCATCTGTTAAAAATCCATTTCCTATATTGGATTAATTCCTAGTTGTGAAGAAAAAAAATATTTTGCTTATACTGCTGATGAATATTAGTGTTTTTCAGCTAGTATATTTTTATTTATTTATTTTAAGAAAATAATTTAGCCAGCTATATCTAATGTTTAGTAATTCTCTTAAACCTAACTTCTTCATGAAACTCTGAATTTTGCAGGCTTCAATCTTTCATTTTGGATCCATAAGCTTGATAGCTGAGCCTTGCCGATCAGCACATTTGATTGCCATGCAGGAGGCTAAGAAGGCTGGAGCCCTCCTATCCTATGACCCAAATCTTCGGCTTTTGTTGTGGCCATCAGCAGAGGAAGCCAAGAGTCAGATGATGAGTATCTGGGATCAGGCAAACATCGTTAAGATCAGTGATACCGAACTTGAGTTCCTTACAGGCCAATCCTTGGTGGAGGATGATGTAGTAATGAGCTTATGGCGACCAGAAATGAAGCTTCTTGTAGTAACTCTAGGAAAGGATGGATGCAAATATTACACAAAAGTATGCACATGGAGTAACCATTCCATTTAATCTTGCATTTGAACAGAGTTTATTCTGTGGCATTAACCACTTGTAGATCTTGCTTTCTCTTACATGTTAGAATTTTCGGGGGACTATTGAAACCATCAAGGTCAAGCCAGTGGATGCGACAGGGGCCGGGGATGCCTTTGTTGGAGCTATGCTATGGGGGATTTCAAAGGATCTATCAACATTGATAGTGAGCTTTTTATTTATTTATTATTTTTTTTTAGTCTTAGATTCTACTTTTGAACTCAAGTTACAATCTTTAATGTTAAGGACAAGTAATCTTGCTAGGTCTATCACTACTCTACGCGCTTAATATTCGGAAGAGTAAAATCAAAGTTGATCAAATTTGGGCTTGATACATAAGTGTTTAGGCCAAAAGTTTAAGTTTATGAGTGAAAGTCAATTATATAGTATTTCTACATAGGTTTGTAAGTGAACTGAGTTGGCTCAAGCTCGCAAATTGAGCTTGTAGAGTCAAATTACAGCTCATTCATAAATAAGTTCGAGTTTAAGCTCGACCAAACTCAACTCGTTGGCTCGCAAGCCAACTCGTATCTTTGTTTTTAATATTAACTAAATTCAAAACATTTGTCCTTCAACCTTTTTTTGGATAAAATCCTCCAGTCTTCTCCAAAAATAATGTTAAAATTTGTTTTATTTTTTATGAAGATAAAAGATAAAGCTGCTCTATACTGTCGTTAAAGCACTACTACAGTGTTTTTTTTTTCCTTGGGAAAACAATAAATGACCATCCTCATTTAAAATAAAAGTTGCTGTCTACCTTCTCCACTGAGCTCTTATCATGTGTCCTAACTCAACGACACTACCTTGTCTGGTGAGCTACCTATCTCTAGCAAGCAGCCGTTGTAAGATATTTTCCATCAAGCTACCTGTTGACCTCTGGATAAATAACCAAAACAAGTAACAAAATCTGAGAAGAAGATTTGCACACCTGTCTCTGCTAAATCCCGCAAATCCTACTCAAATCCCGCTAAATCACTATTCATGAGGCGCCGTTGCAGTCGTCCTGTGATCTTGCCTCAGTCGAGCATCCACATTCGTCGTTAAATACTGGAGCAAATGAAGCCATTCGCTACTTCTTCAACCCGCGATCCCCACAGCCCGACGCTCCTACTGTGAAGCTCTGATTTCCTCTGTTCCAACCCGTCATCCTCGCAGCCCCATCTCTGACCCCGACCATTCATTCTCCTTCCAATCTCCGGCCTTCACCCGACATCCTCCACCTCTCAGTGCTGCAAACCTAGCCGACCTCTCTGCCTCTTCCGAACTTCACCAAGCCGGAGCCTCCTTCTGCTTGTTCTCAAGCCGCCGATCCACACACACACACAGAGAGAGAGAGAGAGAGAGAGAGAGAGAGATTTCTACATACCTAGCCATTTCCTCCGATCTCCAAACCTGATCGAAGCCATTGCCGACATCTTCTCCACCTCTTCAAGCCGAGATCTGCCCTAACCGTGAGCCTTTTCTTCTAGCCGACTGTAACCTCCATCGACGACGTTCCCTCCCTGTTCGGTTCGGACGTTCCGACATTTTGATTTGAAGCAAGAACGGGAGCAAGCTGGTTGTGAAGGTAACTTCCTCCGTGCGCTTCTGCGGCCAATTCCTGTGAGCAGAGGGGAAGGAGGATTTTATTTTTATTTTTATTTATAATAATAATAATTTAATATAATTAATTATAATTAAATTACGTTTAATTATAATTAATTATTTTAATTTTTAATTAATTACAATCAATTATAAGTAATTAATAATGATTATAATTAATTAAATTTAATTATAGTTAATTAAATTTAATTAATTATTATTGATGATAATTAATTAAGTTAATTTTAAATTAGCTTTTTTTAATTATGATTAATTAGTATTAATTTTAATAATAGTAAAAAATATTTCTTTGACTCGATAAGCGTGCAAACGCTACTGTCGTCGCCATTCGCAGGTATAACTCTCTAAACTCAGATTCTCACCCTCGAAGTTTGCGGCGCATCGGAAAATCGCCTATACATGCCTTTATTGCACGTGGTGGGATGGGACCCCGGTGTGACGCCTACGACGAGGCGGGTAATCACTTAAAAGCCCCATTTCAAAGTTTGCGGCGCACTGAAAAATCGCCTATACACGCTTTTATTGCGCGTGGTAGAATGGGACCCCGGTGCGGCACCCACGGCGAAACGGGGCTACTCATAAGTACCTCCCAACAGGGGAAAAGCAAACTGCATTTTCAAACGAGTACCGTCAAAGATCACAGGCACACTTTTATTGTGCGTGGTGGGAATAAGGATCACGGCCACGGTGTCCTTGTCCGAGGACGCCTACCATACACGTCTTTATTGCGTGTGGTGGAAAGATCCAGTTTCCCGTAGTTTCCCCTAAATGGGGGACATGCTAGGAAGCTGCTGAAATTTTGGGTGAATGTGAGACTTGACTTGGACCTGTTTTGAACTCAAAAGAACAAGAACTTGAGCTCAAAAGACAGCGAGCACTTGTGATCTCGGACTTGAACCAAATGGACCTAAATGAACTTGAACTCAAATAAATTTGAAAAATGTAAGACTTGTATTTGAGGTTGATACTTAAACTCAAGCAAGAACTTGAAGGTCTAACCTATTTGAACTATAATCGACTTCGGACTAAAGTGAACTTGAATGTGGACCGAAACTGACAAGAATATGGGATGCTCTTGAACTCAAGTAATTTGGGATCTAACTTGAGCTTGAGCCCAAGTTGGGTGATATGAAGCATAATTTAAAATAAAATTTTTGATTAAGTGATAACATGCAAATAAGAGCCAAGTGGAGAAATAGTGCACTGAAATGTCTACAACTAATAAAGCAAAATCTTCTTTGAAAATCTAGATATTATCACTTTAATTGGGTGACAAATACTCGCAAACCATTTTGCAAGTATAATTTGACTTCTAAATAACAAGGATCATGAGGAATATGGCTTAATCATAAAGCTCTAGTGTGAGAGAATCCTTTGGATCATGATAATCCACTTGCAAAGGTGGACATGATACATCCCTAAATAACGATCAGATGGAGATGTAATGACGTGCTAAAAATCAATGATACAAGGTTTTCATTCAATATCAAGAGCTCACCATACCAATTGAGACACAAGCATTAGTGAACAAACAAAAGACTTGTTGAATATAGTGAACGATAAGTGCATCGTTTATGAGCAAAAGCAACAGGCATGTCAATAGCAACTACAAATAATAATCGATGATGAATGAGTTCTCTATATCTCATTCAAAAGCAACAAACACAATGATATTTGCGTGGTGAATAACAACTCAATGTTAGGTGAAATACGTTGATCCTCTCAAATAAAAGTGACTAATATGCAGTAGATGTAAGCACCTGCGAGCTCTTATAGCAAGGATATCCAAGCTTCCTTGCCAGTCAACATACAAGGATAAATCAGTGGCAAACACAACTCAACCAATTGCCAATAGTAGCATGCAGGAATGTGTGTTGGCCTCCTACAAAAATTGGAAGATTGATGTGCACTGGACAAAGCAACCTACCAATCAATATATATGAAGAAATTGGTGGCAAATGCAAACTCCTATGAATTACCGTATGAGACCTATGACATACACAAAATGACATCTCCAAATAGACACAGGAGACCGTCATCAAATGTAAACCTCTACGAGTTGCTAAAGAAAACTTATTTCATAGTTAACATTTCATTTGCAACTAGAGAAGGAAGATATGCAAGTGAATACATCAATTCATTGCACGCAAGGAAAGATGAGATGTATTAAATACAAACTCCTATGGGCCGTCATAGAAAATTAGTCATAAACATTACAAGGTGCAAATGTACATACAATGTCTTCTGTAGTCAGAGGGAGTATACCTACAGTACATGTATACAAGGCCTTTGCGAGTTGTTGCAGCACCCTCATGTTTGACAAATGTCAATCAAACATGCTGATCATTTGCAAGTAGAGACGAATAACAAACAACAAATGCAAGTGCCTACGGGCTGCTATCGAAGACTTGCCATACAAGTTATCCACTAGAAAGTATAGAAGACTTCCAACATGTGTCAACATCCACAGCAAGAAGCAGGAGATTCATTAGTGTACTATAATCCACCTGCAGAAAGCAATGAGTAGTGCACGATAGTCTACCTGTACAAAGCAGCAAACAACTAAATTCAGAAGCTGTTACGCAATGCCACCAGATCTGCAACACTCATACTAGCAGACAGAAGGCGTCCTCAAGACTACAATGCCACGCCACCGGGTCCACAACACTCGTACAAGTGGTCAAAAGGCCTGTTCAAACTCTCAAATTGAAAGTTGTGGACGTTCAAATGGCAGTTGCCTGCATAACTAAAATATCTAAAATACTCTCGCACGTGCACTATAATTTATATACACATAGGTACACAAATGGGAAAATATAACCAAACATCGGCATGGGCCCCGACAAGCATGTCATTGGTACACACGTGACGTCCAAGGATGCTGCGCGAGTCAATAAATTTGAACCCGATCCTTCTAAGCGGGTTAGAAGTTGACAAGGTTCAACAAACAACTATAAAATGCCTCCAAACACCAGCATAGGCCCCGGCGAGCGTGTTATTAGTACACACGTGACGTCTAAGGATGTTGCGCGGGTCTATAAGTGAATTCAAGTTCGAGCACGATCCTTCTATACGAATCAATAGAAGTCTACAGGGTTTGAACCACCAAACAAATATATGATTTTGGCGACAGGTATATTTGTTTTAATACATTTATATTGGCCTTCAAGACCTATAATCAAGAGAATTCACTAATAAAGGTATAAAGCCTATAACGAACCTGATCCTTTGTCGATTAGTGGATAGAGTCGACAAGGTTCAGTTAATGAAATATAAACGACTTTAACGTCACCCCGATGATGGCCGTGTTGAAAGAAGATCTCAACCGGAGTGGTCCATTCCAAATATCTTCCAAATTCCTAAATACCCATCAAAATCCAAAACTCCACAAAGTTCAAAATCCAAAAATCCTAGAAAAATGCCAAAATCCATATATTTAAAATTGAAATAAACTCATCAAACGCTTAAAGCAAAATCCATCCATCCTCCGCAACAGTTTGCCGAGGTGGATAAATTAAAATTTACTTTAGCTCACACAGAGCTAATACCTAGTCGAAAATATCACTAGGATCCATTCTCAAACAATCTCATGCTAATAAGGACGTGGTACGTGTCCTCTAATCGGAGGTTTTGCGGCCAAATAGCACTGTAGGATAAACGGTTATGAGCCGGGGCCTTCTGAACCGAGTGGTTTTGCCGCCAAATGGCACCACGAAATACTGGTTATGGCCAGAGCCAATACCCTCTTTAGTGGCATCAAATTCTTGAGATATCAACCAATAGGATATAATCGATAAGGCACATATCCCTCTGTTAGCTAAGGTGAATTCAAATTTGTCCTCTTAGACAAATATTCACCCCAAGTCTATAAGGTACCCTTGGACGAAGCAACCCATGGCTGCCGACAATGATCCTTCTGTCAGGTTGGGTCGACTACCTCCTCTAACTAAGTAGACCAGGGACCACAATGGGCCGGGACGACGGAACCATGAGATCTTGATCGGGTCTATCATCCATTCTCCCACCAACTGCTTTAAGTGCAAGATGGTGAAATTTCTATTTTAAATATCAAACTTTTCAAATTCCCAAATTCAAACCCAATTCCCAAATCCATGCCCATGCTGCTACTATATGCCAGATACTACGTATCTGATTGACGACTAGCCTTAATTGAAAGTTCTCTCTCGCGATCGAGAGGGGTAATTAACTATAAGAGCTTGCACCTATAGGAAACCGGAACTCAGATCATAAAATCCTCACGAAATGAGGGCAAAATCTCTGGGTAGTGTCTTATCTACAAACCCGTCTGCCTTCCAAAATTTACCCCAGAACTTAATCCGTTAAAACTCCCCCCTCGCTAAAGAAAAAGCAAATAGTCGGACAGATGCCGGGGCCGAATTTTCGGAACCCACACTACCAGAGCATTCCTCGTCTACTGCAATAATTTTCCAATGAGCTACTTGAGCTTTCTCCTTCGAGCTATTGAGTCGAGCTCGAGTTTTCAAGTATCTTGACAAGTCAAGCGTAACCTCAAGTTCGAGCTACTCTTGATTGGATGCACCAAGTTCAAGCTCAAGCTTAAGCTCAAGTTACATGTGACTTGAGCTCGACCCAACTTGATGACATCCTTATTTCTACTCCATCATAAGTTTCAACTATCATATATGGAATTAAACATAAGTTTCACATAGCTTAACACTTAGGCTTGACGACTTATTGACTTTTAGTATGAGAAGTGATAAATTTTTATCTCATGTTAAATATGAAGTATTTTCTTAAATTAAGATCATTAATACTAAAGATGAGTATCCTTAATAGGTCAAATCGAGACAAGGCCTATTACTATTCAATGGGGTTAAGATTAATGCTTTCCGCAAAATAAATCGACACTTTGAAGAAATGATACACTAAATTAGTGATTTTTATGGATCTCTATATCTGGGTCAGTTAAAAAACTTATATCTAATAAAATCTTCTATTAAGGTAATTAACTTTATATTTAAGTATAAAGCCTTATATTTGAGAACAAGCTTAATAGTAAACCTTAATATTTTGATTAAAGACCTTACATTTGATAAACCCTAAGACTTAAGATCAATATCCTATATCTAAGTAGAACACCTCTTCTTTGATTAATATACTTTATAAGTGATAAAATCTTATATCAAGATCATCATCATGATCATTTGCTTTATCCCAATTATTTTAGAACAACATTATAAATCTTTATTTTTCATTCATTTATATTGATTGATATATGAGATGTTAAATATATTATTAACAAATTATTTTGAGAAACTTTTAATCATATAATCTTAGGTCTATCTTTATTCTTAATCTTCTAATACTAATTTTATCAACTTGTCTAATTGTTGCATTTTCCGCCCTTCATTTAAACCTTTCTTTTAATATAATTATTTCTTAATTTATCATTCCTAGTTTTGCTTGTATTCATCTTAATATTCTCATTTCTACCACAAAGCTTATCTATAAATTTTTTTGGGAGTCTAACACTAGATTCATATAATAACACAAAATTACTATAATTTTATAAAATTTATCTTTAACATTCTAAGATACTCTTGTAACACAACTTTTAAGGCACATCTCCATTTTAGTCATCCAATCTTTTACTCTAGAAGTTGTGCCCTCATGTATATTTTCCTTAATATGTATAATAGATCTATGGTGCCTAAAATTTTCACACCCTGTTAAACTTATATATTAAAAATTCCATTTTTATTCGAATAATTTTAAGATATTTATTTTTTTGACATTCCTTTTAATTATCTAATTTATAATTTTTTTTAATAAATATCTTACTAATGATCCTCAAAGAATTTGTAGCCGGGTCAATTCTCCTGCATAAAGGCGTTGGGGGTGAGATGAGGGTACTCTTTTTTTGGTGTAATAAGCGATGCAGTTGATCTGAAGACATCGATTACTACAGTACAGTTAATTCTAATCAAGTGGTTGAGCAGATTGAGTTAGGAAGATGAGCAAAAAAGATTAGGTGATTTAGAATAAATCATTCATTCATACATGCGTGACAAGTTACCATTTTGAAGATTTATGCATTGTTACATGCATCTTTTTTATAAGAATGAAAATTTATAGAAGTAATCCAAATAATTGGTGGGATAAATGATGATTATATTAAGAGAATTTGATGTTGATACAAAGTTTTTTTCTGAGTTACAGGATGAGAAGAAGCTGAAGTCGGTGTTGAGGTTTGCAAACGCTTGTGGTGCTATTGCCACCACTAAGAAGGGAGCAATCCCTGCTATGCCTAGTGAAGCAGAGGTATTGGACTTGCTGAAGAAAGCTTGAGACTTGTCTTGAGTCTCTGAACTGTTGGATTTTGTTGTTCTTTTTTCCCTTTTTTATAATTTCATTTCTCGTTAGTAACTTGCTATGTACTGTAGTAAAGAAAATTAGATTTACCTCCGTCGGTATCCTGATATGATACTGCTGTAATCTTTTTACTCTCTAAGGGGAAGTAAATGAGAGAGAACAAAATCTCAGTTTTACTGGATGCGGACGTTCCCAATTCCATGTCTGTATTTTTTCACATTTTGGTTAACACGAAAAGAGAATTTTCTTATTATATGTTCCTTCATAGGTTGTCATATAATTATCTACTTTGGTCTTTTATTTTTAATGAAATGTTATATTAAGGTTTCCTTTTAAACAGTTTTCTTATTGATTTTAAAAGCTTTTTTATAGTAGAAAATTTCATGAAAATAATGAAAAAATAGTGGGCAAAAGCTGTATCAGATGAAGCCTAATTTGCTGGTTATATTTCCTATAGTTGCATTCTCTTCCATCTTCTAGTACAATTGTGATGTGGTGCTGAAGAGTAATGGTATTCGGATCAAATTGATTGGTGAAAAATCTGTTAAATAAAGTGACTGTCTATAAATTTGCTGATCATAATACGTTTTATTAGACTAATTATTGTGATCAGTTAGATTTAACAGACAAAAATGTCTTCATTACTTGCAGGATCACTTACAAGCTAATAGCTTATGATCAGTCAAATGGCATTTGCATATTATCAAATGAGCTCACAACCTTTTGGAAATATGTGAAATGAGTAGATCTTGAAATTTTACGTGTTTATATGTTGTAATTTGTCACTATATGTTTGCTTCTATTTTGGAGTTCTACGAAGGATAAGGTAACAATTAGTGACAATTGAAGGCAACTTGTTCAATGTAATCGTGTTATTTGAATATAATGCAGGCATAAATAGCGTTCTGGTTTCGAATATTGGAATATCTTAAATGCATCATGAACTCATTATTCAAGAATTATATGCTCAATAATATCATAGATTGCAAGATAAAATAGTTCTCAATTAGAGAGGCAGAGTAAGGTTTTGTTAATGCAGGCATAAATAGCGTTCTGGTTTCGAATATTGGAATATCTTAAATGCATCATGAACTCATTATTCAAGAATTATATGCTCAATAATATCATAGATTGCAAGATAAAATAGTTCTCAATTAGAGAGGTTTCAATCTGAGTAAGGTTTTGTTTGGAGTAGCTTTCTTCCTATTTTTTAAAATAGTTGTTTAGTACAAAATTTTTTAGTTTAAAAAAGTTTTGTATTAAAAAATAGTTTTAAAAAATAGTAAGTTAGTTGTGCCAAATGAAGTATAAGATGGGATTACTGGAGAAATAGAAGTTGGACAGCGATGGAGAAAGAGAAGTTGGACAGCGATGTAGGAGATTCGGTTAAGTGATTGATAGAATTCTATGTTTTATTTTATTTTATTTTTCTAGCGAAAGATTTGAGTGCTAGCCTGTTATCATAAGAAAATTATAACTAAGGTAGAAATTAGTTGATTTATGATATTAAATTTGATCCGTTGTGCCAAATGAACTCTAAGTTAGGATTACTGGAGAAAGAGAAGTTGGACAGCGACATAGGAGGTTCCGTTAAGAGAGTGATGGAAACCTTTGTTTTATTTTATTTTATTTTTCTAGCGATAGATTTGGCTGCTTGCCTGCTATCATATGAAAATTACAACTAAGGAAGAAATTAGTTGATTGATGATATTAAATTTAGGCTTAGTTTGGGACGACTTTTTTATTGCTTTCTAAAATAGAGTTTTAGTAAAAAATAAAAAAATTGTACTAAAACTCCGTTTTAGAAAGCAATAAAAAAGCCGTTCCAAACGAACCCTGAGATAGTTAATCAAAATGTAGATAGATATATCATTGTTAATTTAAATAAAAATGTAACGTTTTGATACATTTATTAGTTCAAATATAAATTAGAACCAGTATTATTACCTGAACTAATGAATATACTTTAAAATGAGTTTGGGGTGTTTTAGCTTTGTAAGAATGTTTGACACATGCAAAGATAAAAGAATATTGCAAGAATCATTAAAAAATTTATATGAAAATTCAAAAAAGGTAAAAATTATGGAGTCTTATCCAATTGAAATGATTCTAATAACCTACATTGTAGGTTATCAAAGGTGTCCTTCCCATAATTGAGAAATGTTTTAATATAAAAGATTGATTTTATGGAGTAAGTTGGATGAGTCTTGAGTCATAGAGTTATATTTAAGATATTGTGTTTTGGCATGTTCAATCATTCTTGTTGAAAGAGATGAGACTAGAGTTTAAGAAATTAAGTATAAATATTAGTTTTAATAATATGGTTAAATTTGGTGTCGACTGCATGTATTAGTTTTATAGTTGATATAGAGAATTATTTTTTTATATCGACAACATGCATTAGCCTTACAAACAATGGAATTTATTGATGTTGTTGGTAACGGCTAGTGAAGAAGTCAACATATATGAATGTTCATGACAACTTTAAGCATCAACCTTATTGGTGGTGTCATGCATCGACATTTTTGGCAATGGTTGCCACAAAGTCAATAATATTGACATTTGTGTTGACTATGTGCATTGGCTAGATAGGTGATAACATCCATTAGTACCATTGATGACATAGAAAGATAAGGTTGACAAGTGTCAGAGTTTGTGTTGACGATGTAATCAGGAGACTATAGTCAATTGATGTTGATTAGAAGATTATAGTTAAGCAACCATAGATGGGAAATAATGTTCTATATATAATAATCAGCCGACGATACTAAGTAGATTATAGTTGGATAATGATGGTCATGAGACACTGGTTGGGAGATCCTAGTATTTATTTTGTTAATCAGATGGTGATGGTCAGGAGACGACGATTAGTGGCGATGGTCATCAAATTTGATCACCAAGCAAGCTCTTTAACTCTAATTCCATATTTGCACCAAGCTCCCACTAGTTTTTGCTCAAGTCCTGTTCATGTGAAGAATGAGAGTTTATTTAAACTTTTAAGGGTGACATTTTTGTAAATTTAGCAAAAAATTCCAAAACACTCCATCAAACTGCCCATGTTAAATCCTTTAATCATATATTATTTCAGCATTCAAATGCCTTAATAAGACCTGGATGCAGCAACTTTTGGATCATTGGATACCACTCGTTAAGATGCTCGATTTAATTATAAACATGTAAGATCCAAAAATCATTTAGTCTTTTGATTAGTGTTATGAAGTTTTCAAATACACTTTATATGTTTTATTTGAGCTCATTTGAACTCAGATCAAATCACTTTTAGTATTATTGGGTTCATCTCATTGAAACATTCGATTTGATAAGTAAGCTAAAATTGGTTTGGATTATTCTGAATTTAACTCTAAAGGTTGAACTAAGATTCGTGCTTGATAAAGGGGATATTCTAATGATGTTTCATTTGCCTACTATTTTTGGACATTGAAGTTTTTCATCCTGCATTATATTGAGGCTTAAAAAAATTTGCAACATAAAGTTATAATTTTTAAAAAATTAATATGTGCAACTACTCCTTAGATGCTATTATAGTTCTCCCTAATTAAATTCTTCAATCATAATTTTGAACTTTTTTTTTATGTTGTCATACTTGCTAGAACAAAATTTGCTCTAAACTCTCATGTTTTTTTTTTAATTGATCATAGAGGCCCCATTGGGATTTGAAAGGGCTGAAATTGAGTTTATAACATCTAATATAGGTTATAAATAATGACCTTCCACTTAATTGGGAAGGCCTTCATACAATGTAGCGAATATGAAATGTACATGATGAATGTTATAGTGGAAGTTGGAGGAGTTTTTAGACATTGAAGTTATCTTCAAGATATCATGTTATGATTTATTTAGTTATTATGTTTTAAGGAGCTCCAGTGGAAGATAAGATTAGAGAGAGTCGCCTTAGATGGTTTGGTCACATAATGCAATGGCCTTCTGATGACCCAGTTAGGAAAGTAGAGAGGTGTTATATTTGACTTATATTAAGAAAGGTAGAGGTAGCTAGACATAAAAATACTTGGTTAAAAAATATTATAAATGATATTTCTTTATTAGATTTAAATGATAATTTGACTATTAACATGACACAATGAAGAAAAAAGATTCATGTAGCTGACCCCACGTAGTGGGACAAAGGCTTGATGTTGTTGTTGTTATGTTTTAAGGAGAGGAGACTAAAAACTAAGAAATTTGATTATTACAAATCTTGGTGTTGGTATCAGGAGTAAAAGATGATGTGTATATACTTATAGGCATTTATGATTGTCAACATTTTGTTTCCACAACATGCACTAGTCTCATAAGCTTTAATATGCGTCAATATTGTTCATGATGATCAATGAAGAAGTATATAAGCATTGTCATTTGTGTCAAAGGTGTGCATCATTGTATATGTAGTGACATGCATCAATATTATTGGCTACTACGGGCAATGAAGTCAATGGGCAATGTCATTTGCATCAGTGGTGTATATCGGCCTTATATGTGACAACAAAAAAATGAAAAGTATTTTAAAAAAATGAATTTATGAATTTTGTTTGAACTAGAGCACTTCAATGTTGCTCGTGTTTGCATTTGTGGTGCTAGGTTTGAGAGCATAACAGCATCCAAAACTACCGCTACAGCATTTAAGCTTTTGTTCTACAGTAATTCTGGAATCAACATGCAATGCTGTTGCACCAAGTCTAAGCACTACAATGCTAGGCCACTAACTGTGTCTATTATTTATATATATATATATATTCATGCCACCCTCCCTCACTCTCGTTGTCTTACTCAAAAAGAAACTAAAGGAAGAGAGGAAGAGCAGGGGGAAGAGGAGAGAGAAGATGAGAGACAAATCTCTTTCAGACTTTTCTGTCCATCATTTCTGTTATAACTTGATTATTGTTAGTAACTATCATCTTATTTATGTTTTCATTGGTTTTGATTTCTACTAATTTTGTGTCACAACCCCAAGGATCTAACTTGGAAGAATTATTCATTTAATCATTTAAATAATTAATATACCAAAGTTATCTATGTCATCCATCTGTAAATAATAATACAGTATATTCTATAATTTAGAACATCAATGTATATATATATATATATATATATTCCCAAAAGTCATTTACATTACTCAAGATCTTCACAATTATCACGTATCCATCCTGTCCTGAGTATAAAAAGAATCACTATATAAAAAAAAAGAATAGAACCTGAAGAACCCTGATCAATCTCAAACTCCTGCTCCCTTATCAT